CAAAACAACTTCTCTGAGAAAGCTATTACTATAATGCTCATTTTATAGATGAAGAAAATGCAGGGCCCCATGGCTAGTAAGAAGCACAGCCAGGGTTTGGACAGGGTGACTGCACAGCCTTAACCAGGTTAGAGGTGGGGACTGATTCTGGAGACGTTGATTTGGCAGCTCCGAATGACAAGAGGTCATGGAGGCAGCGGCCTCTACACTGTTTATTTCTGTACCTTTACTTGTAGCAGTCTAGCGGGGAGAATGAAGGAAGGGGGAGGGAGATGCTTGTCAACTCTAGAAAGTGACTCTGGCAGTGTTCTTACTAACTACATTGTACCACCAAGCACTTTATCCTCACCAGGGGGTACCCGTAAGTTTTGAATGAAGCCCTTTGGTCTAGATGACTTAAGGTCCATTGCAATCTAGAGATCAGGAATTTCATCAACATAAGGGGATAAATATTACCACTCCTCAGAATCTTAAGATTATCTAGGGTTAGCCCCATTGATTATATTTCTCCTAACTTCTATTGACAGAAAGCTGTGGGGAAATAAGTATTTTGAAGGATTAAATTCCAATCTGTATCTGCAAGTTACATTTATTTATTTTTTAAAAAATTTTAGTGTTTATTTTTGAGAGAGAGGGAGACACAGAATCCAAAACAGGCTCCAGGCTCTGAGCTGTCCGCACAGAGCCTGATGCAGGGCTCAAACTCACAAACGGTGAGATCATGACCTGAACCGAAGTCAGACGTTTAACCGACGGAGCCACCCAGGCGCCCCTCCAAGTTACATTTATATCCAAGAGTTGACACAGCAGTTGCTTAGAATAATTTGATAAATGGAACTCATACATAGGACTACAGAATTGTTTCTTTACGGGCTTAGTTTCAGAGCTGGAGGATATTTAAAGGATAGATCAACCCATAAATCTGTAGGTATTACTAAAAGTGGTGTGTCATTATTGGCATCAGTGCATGCTGAACCCTGCTGGGCTGTGGAGGAAGGAGAAGCTGACCTGACCAAGACAACACTACACAGATGTTGCTGGCTTTCTTCCACCTGTTAGCACCCAGTGTCAATTTCATGGGTAGAATCATGGTGTGCAAGTGCATTAAATTTTTAAAAACAACTGCTCATTGCTGATGGTCAGTGGGAAAAGAAACATTAGGAGCTGTCATTTTTCTACCAACTGTTGCTTTCATTAACAAGGACAAGAAACATTGTGGGGAATAAATAAGATTCTTACATCACACCAGAAAAAAGCAGCTGAGTCCCCCCCTAAGGATTTTATATCCTATCATCAGACAACTAAAGAAAATAATTTCATATAAATGGCTACGTTAGTCAGTGTCATAAAAATTAGTCTTTACTTCTTTAAAAGAGCAACTGGAAATATTTTGTCTTTGAAAATAGAGTAACCAAACTACCCTAAGATCCCGCAATTGCACTACTAGGTATTTACCCAAAGGATACAAAAATACGGATTTGAAGGGGCACAATGCAACCCAGTATTTATACCAGTACTATCAACAACAGCCAAACTTTGTAAAGAGCCCAGGTGTCCAACAACTGACAAAGAAGATGTGGTACATTCAATGGAATATTACTCAGCCATGAGAAGAATGAAATCTCGCCAGTTGGAATGACGTGGATGGAGCTAGAGTATATTATGCTAAGAGAAATAAGTCCATCAGAGAAAGACAAATACCATATGATTTCACTCATGTGGACAAAAACAGATGAACATATTTGAAGGGAGAAAAATGAGAGAGGGAAGCTAACCATAAGAGACTCTTAATGATAGAGAACAAACGGAGGGCTGATGGAGGGAGGTGGAAGTGGGATGGGCTAAGTGGATAATGGGTATTAAGGAGGACACTTGTGATGACTTACGTGATGACTCGCTGAATTCTCCTGAAACAAGTATTACACTAAATGTTAACTAACTAGAATTTAAGAAAAAATTTAGAATAAGAAAAAAATAGAGTAACCATTTAGTAAACCATATATAGCATTGAGGATATTTTTCAGTTGAAGAGAATTTCTATAGTAGCTCTCTTATAATCTGTTATAGCCAAACTTATGAAGAAAATCAAGATAAGGGAAAGCTGTGGTCATGTTTTAAGATTTGATTTTCTTTTTCCATTTGATTGCCCTATCTAAATTCCCATTAAATTAAATGTAAATTTGCATGTGTAAAAATATACGTATATCCAAGTTATCTCTTAGGAGAGGTTTAATGTAAGTATAAATAGAAAATTTTCTCTAACCAAAAAAAAAAAATTAGTATTAAATTCTGCCTTTTCTCGTCTCTCCATATCTAAAAACTATCAACATGTACTGTTAATTGTACTTCCTAAAACTCTATACTCTTCTCTCCAGCCCCATTGCCATCACTTTGAGGCATGCTTTACCATTTGGGTTCTATCAGAAGGCTCTCTTTATTCTCTTCTTCATATCCACCTCCACCACTGAAGTCCTCCATCTGTGTGTGTGTGTGTGTGTGTGTGTGTGTGTTTTCCCAGCCTGAATCCCTTTATTGGCTTTTTATTAAATCGAGGTTCCTTAATCATATCAAACAGGGCCTGCCTCCAGGAGCTGGTCTTTGCTTACTTTCCCTGCCTCATTTCCTGCCACTTTCCCTTATACCTTAAGACCCAACTTACTAGTAGTTCCCCAGTACCCACCCATACACACCACAGTACGTATACACCTTTATCCCCATACACACATCTTTGAAAATAAAATTCCCTTGACTGCAGCCGTGTCACATTCCAAGACTTGAAATGATCTAAACACAGAAATCTCATCCCCTAATTGGGGCTGAACACAGTTGACTTGAATACAAGCGAAATTGCTAGTTGTTAGGATAGTCATCTTTCTGCAGTACACGTGTTTTGGAGCTTTGACGCACTCCCCACTTCCTGCCTCAGAGATAAAGAATTTCTTATCCAACTGCTGGCAAACAGCCCTCTTCAGGAATTGCCTTGTCCCCAACTCAGGACAACTGTGAAGGGGCTTTCCCCTTCCCCATGGGGTCCGCCGAGGCTTGGAGATTTCATCAGAGTCTGACTTCTCCCTCTGCCATACCTCTTCCTTTCCACAGGTCCTTTGGTCAAGATCACTCCCTAATAAGTTTCCTGTAAGCAGTCTCTGTCTGCTTGCTGGGCAGACCAGCCTGTAACATGTCTTATTGATTCTTTTTTGTTCTAGAGCTTGTGAAGTCATGGTTTGCTAACATCTTACTAATTCAGGTCATTTCATCAGGCATGTATTGAGCACCTGCTCCATGCCAAGCATTGTGCCACATGCAGTGGGGACAAATGAGGACTTGGCCTGTGCCCTAGAGAAGTTTGCAGTTCAGTTGAGGTGACAATTACGTTCAGAACTGTACTATCACATCTTTAGAATTATCCTTTTTTTAACTTAACTTCAATAATCAGTATAAAATCAAAGAACAAAAGGAAAGCATCTCAGGGAAATGAAAAAAAAAAGTAGAGTGAAATTTTAGAAGGTTATCGAGGTTGTCTTTGGGATTCCGGAAGCCTTTAGGGAAAATAGTTTTTTTCACTTTTTATTTTGAAATAAGTTCAAGCTTAGAGAAAAGTTACAACTAACACATAACTCCCATACACCTTTATACAGATTCATCAATAAAAATTTTTATATATATATATATTTTTTATTTCTAGGAGAGAGAGAGAGACAGCATGAGTAGGGGAGGGTCAGAGAGAGAGGGAGTCACAGACTGAAACAGGCTCCAGGCTCTGAGCTGGCAGTCAGCACAGAGCCCAACGTGGGGCTCGAACCCACGAACTGCGAGATCATGACCTAAGAGAAAGTCGGACGCTTAACCGACTAAGCCACCCAGGCACCCCACATCAATAAGAAAATTTTTTTAAATGTTTTATTTATTTCTGAGAGAGAGAGAGAGAGCAGGTGAGGATCAGAGAGAAAGGGAGACACAGAATCTGAAGCAGGCTCCAGGCTCCGAGCTAGCTGTCAGTACAGAGCCCGATGCGGGGCTCGACCGCAGGAACCGTGAGATCATGACCTGAGCCAAAGTCAGACGCTCAAACGACTGAGCCACCCAGGCGCCCCCAGATTCATCAATTTTTAACATTTCTCCACATGCTTTAGCATATAAATGTGTAAGAATGCTAAACATTACACATTTACACGTTACATTTACATTAGGCATTTTATACACATATTACACAGACACAAAATACACATATTTTGCAAACAGAATAGGTTGAATATGTCACCTCATCCCTTAATACTGTGTGTATTTAAAAAAAAGTGTGTATTTAAAAAAAGGAGATTCACTGGTTACTACAGTAGTCAAATTCAGGATGTTTGATACTTTACAGTCTAGATTCAAATTTAGTTAATTATCCCAAAGATGAGTTTTAAGAGTCCTAGAACTTTTGTAATTTAAACTAAGAGTTGTATGGAGTAAGCCACAGAAGAGCTCGCGACTTAACTAATTTGATTAAAATATCATAGTGAAGGGGACCCACTTGTGACTTTCTAAGGGGAAAGCACGGTTACGTCCAGGTTACCAGTACACGCGTGACGTGTACCTCTCTAGAAGCGGGTCTTACTCTATAGAGCTCGTTTCACGCGGTGCCTTTCAAAACAGACTGTAGCCCGGAGCCGGGGATCGTGAATTTCATTGAACTCGTATGTAAAGTAGACTGACTTGTCGGCTTGGGCTTTACTGTGGTCAAGTTTAACGATGTTGTTTGGATCTTGCGCAGGCTTCGCCAAGAGGCGGGGAGGTGGCGGGGGTGGGGGGGTTGGGGGGACAGGAACTGCTCCCGGAACTAGATCTGCAGACCATCCCCCATCCCCGGCTACTAAGCACACACTGATGTCGCGGGAGGCGGGGCCACCTGGCTGGGGCATCGTCGTGAGGGCGTGGTCGGCGCGTGGCCCCCTCTCCCCGCGCATGGGTCTCTGGGAGTCCGTGACGTCACTTCCGGTGTGGCTGGGCGTGGTCTGTTGGGAGTTGGTGGCGGTAGCGGAAGTCCAAGCACAGGCCGCCTCCGTGGGGGAAAGCCGGGTCGAGTCTGCCGCCTCTGCCGCCTCTGCCGCCCCAACGCTCGACGGCCGTGGACGTCATGGCTTCCCCGCTGAAGCTGAAGCTGGAGCAGGACGTGCAGGGGAAAGTAGATTCGTTTCGGGCCCGCATCGCGCAGGAGGCCGAGGATCTCGTGTCCACCTTCTTCCCCCAGAAGCTGTCGGAGCTGGATAGTCGCGTCCAGGAGCTCCTCCTGCAAGACCTGTCCAGAATCCGTTCGGTGCCGGCCCTGGAGCCCCCCGCCGCCCCCGCCACCGCGGGGGATGGGCCCACCCGGGACCCGCCGCCTCTGCAGACCCAGGCCTCGGGCAGAGTGCCGGCCCTGCCAGGCGGCGAGGGACAGCTGCTGTGCAGCAACCAGCATCTGGTGGAGCTGATCGAGCGGGTCAAGCCCGAGGTCGAGCTGCTGCGGGAGAAGTGCAACACGGTGCGCATGTGGGTGCAGCTGCTCATCCCGAAGGTGGAGGACGGCAACAACTTCGGGGTGTCCATCCAGGAGGACACCGTGGACCAGCTGTGGACCGTGGAGAGCACGGCGGCCTCCTATCTGCGCCGCTTCTCCACCTACTACAACACCAGGGCCAAGCTGGTGTCCAAGATCGTGAAATACCCGCAGGTGGAAGACTATCGCCGCACGGTGGCCGAGGTGGACGAGAACGAGTACCTGAGTGTGCGCCAGATCCTGCTGCACGTGCGGAACCAGTACGCCACCCTGCACGACGTGATCCTCAAAAACATCGAGAAGATCAAGACCCCTCGGAGCAGCAACACCGACAGCCTCTACTGAGGGCCTGCCTCCTCCCTTCTTTCCCGAGGGAGGTGGCCGGGCTGTTGAGGCAGCCGGACGGCGTTATAATGACCGTGTAGGTGCTGAACCGACTGGAGACGTGCCTTCCTGTTGAGTGACCGTTTCGTACAGCTTGTCTTCACACTTCTGGTGCTTCTGGTGTAGTTCTTACTGGCTTTTTCCTTCACCCAGAGGCCGGGACAAGCCACGTGGTAGAAGGTGGTAGGGTTGGCCTAGGAGAAGGATTACCGTTTTTAAAAGCAGCTGCGTAGATGCCTGTTGGCCAGGGTGTCTTTTTCATGACATTGCTGACGTCGAATGTTTGAGGGGTTTTACTCCAAGAAAAACCTGAAGTTTAAAAGAAAGTTAAAGGAAGCTTTTCCTAAGGTTCTGCTGTGTTACTTTGTTCAAACCTCAGAAATGCTTTTTGCCTTTTTTTTTTTTTTTTTTGTCAAGGAAAGGAGTTTACAGAGATGTGTCGAGGTCTGTGTATGCCTCCAGTTTGGCAGATTGAAATAAAACTTGGTTTTAACATTTTACGATGGACTCAGCGTGCTTATCAGAACCATGGTCTTCAGATGTATAGGGTTTCCCTCCTCCTCCGTTGGACTCCCACCTTTGTGATTTTTCAGCTCTGGAGTGTATGAAAAATGAGCAGATAAAAAAGAGTCCTAGATCTTTATTGTTCTAGAGAAATGGACACCCACACCTCCCTTAGTGCGAAGAGGAATCTGTGAAAACTGCTTCCTTGCACCACCTCCTTTCTAACCCCGCGTCTTTCAGTTTCCTTTCACACAGCTTAGGATTTCCTGTGGGTGTTCATTCACCGCAGAAGATCCTTTAAGTTTGTATCGCGTTTGCTTTTTTTTTTTTTTTCTTTTTTCCTCCATTGAGTTCCATCTCCCTTCCCCTCTTGCCTCTTGAGATCTTTCTTAGGGCCTCTTAACCGAATTTCCGTCTCTAAGGATATGGATCTTTATTTAAATCTAAAGAGGCTAAATAAAATGTAACTTTGAGTGTCTTCCTCCCGCTTTGGCTGCCTGGTTGAGAGGAAACGGCTGTCCTTGCCTCTGCCTCGGTGCTCTACCCTGTTGGTGTTGGTCAAGTCCAACACTTGAAGGTTTTAGTTGCAGTGACTCCTTGCGCTCTGAGTCCCCTCCTGCATTACAGGGAATTTCTTTCTGCCGATGTGAGGAATTCTCTCTCCATCATGGCTTTTGTTCAGAATTTCATGTCTTCTGATACTAAAGGTACTTTAGTCAGCTTTATAGTGTTAATACTGTCCGAGGACTTTCAGCACGCAGAAACACCACCTGCGGAAGTCATGTAATAATACCTTTGAAGAAAACATGAATGGGAGTTCTTTTTGGTGCTTTTTAATATCTAGGAATGAGGTGATTTCTGTGCACAGTGGATAGCTTCATCTCTTTTTTCCCCATTCAGCTACTTGTGTCCTGAACCCTCGTAATGTTTTTGAAACTATATACATACATTAATTATGGCCTTAATCTTTTACAGTACTTTATAGTAATACTTCCATGCAGTAAATTATTTCTCAAATGAGTTTTTGGTGGGAAAATTATGAGGGATTAAGCTTGTTTATTGTGACATGTGAAAATATATTTCCTGTTGAAATTTCTTCTTTACATAAAATCCTCTGCAACAAGGTGACCATGTAAGAGAGTCTGGTATCTGTTTTGAAACTTATTTGTTAGGGGCGCCTGGGTGGCTCATTCGGTTAAGCATCCGGCTTCAGCTCAGGTCATGATCTCACGGTTTACAAGCTTGAGCTCCATGTGGGGCTCTGTGCTGGCAGTTCAAAGCCTGGAGCCTGTTTCAGATTCTGTGTTTCTCTCTCTGCCCCTCCCCAGCATTCATTTTCTCTCTCTCTCTCTACCTCTCTCTCAAAATAATAAAAAAATAAACTTATTTGTAATTCTGCCTTTTTTCCTTTTTAAAAAATATCTTTGTGAGGATATAGTCTTGCTATACAAACGCAATTACTTCTGAACTTACTTATGGATAGGGTGAAAATATGAATAATTTCATCTCTTCTTTTAATTGATCCTGATGTTCCCTCTCCCCATTTCCCTATTTAATGAGTGAAGTCACTTTTTTTTAAAAAAAAATTTTTTTTTAATGTTTTTTATTTATTTCTAGGAGAGAGAGAGACAGCGTGAGCAGGGGAGGGTCAGAGAGAGAGAGAGTCACAGACTGAAACAGGCTCCAGGCTCTGAGCTGGTAGTTAGCACAGAGCCCGACGCGGGGCTCGAACCCACGAACTGCGAGATCATGACCTAAGCGAAAGTCAGAGGCTTAACCGACTAAGCCACTTAGGCGCCCCTGAAGTCACTTTTGAATGAGGCTTTTTCTTCAGGACTCTCTTCAATGTGTTTTGGTTGCCAAGAGTGAAAACCAGCATGAACCTTTATGGGCAGACTGGATTCTACAGGCTGTTAGAAAAACATTTCCTCTTTATCAGCAAGAATTGTTTAAGGTGTAAAGCAGAGATGTTTTCTTTTGCATGTTTTCTAGAATAGAAATGTTTCTGAGTTTGAACTATACCACATTAATGGTGGGCAGTTTTTTGTTTTATCCAAGGTGGTAGGGACACCCATCCTGTCTTCCTGAGGTTGGTGTAAGTGTTGGCATTTCTCTTGCTGATTTGTTTTCCTTCTCTGTTTCACTGGAGTGAGTAAAGAGATGACATTTCTCCACGAGCAAAGTGAGTTAGAGACATAGAATTCTGTTGCAATCACCTTTGGCTTTTAAATTTTTGTTTATGGGGCCATTGGGTGGCTCAGTCGGTTAAGCATCCGACTTTGGCTCAGGTCATGATCTCATGGCTTGTGAGTTCAAGCCCTGCATCAGGCTCTATGCTGACAGCTCAGAGCCTGGAGCCTGCTTTGGATTCTGTGTCTCCCTCTCTCTCTGCCCATCCTCCATTTGCACTCTGTCTCTCTCAAAAATAAATAAATACTTTAAAATGTATTAAAAAATTTATTTTTTATTTACGGTGGGGGCAGCTGGGTGGCTCAGTGGTTTAAGCATTCGACTCTTGATTTGGGCTCAGGACATGATCTCACAGTTTGTGGGCTTGAGCTGCATGTCTGGCTCTGTGCTGACAGCTTGGACCTGCTTGGAGCCTCTCCTTCTCTCTGTACTCCTCTCCATTTTGTACCCGTTCTCTCTCTCTCTCTCTCTCTCTCTCCATCCCTCTCTCTCTCTCTCTCTCTCTCTTTCTCTCTGAGATTTTAAAGAAAAATACAATTTTATTTATGGTTATATCTAGAAAATGCACCTTGTGCTTGGGCCTGTTCTTATTAAGATGGATATGAATATTCCTGTTTGCACTTGACATTCCCACTCAAGAGTTCTCTTTATTTCCCTTGTAAGGTGTTCTAGCTCAATCACAAAAGTACCAGGAGCAATTTGGTAGACATTTAATTGCACACGAGCATGTTATGAACAATGTAAAGGAATTCCAAACTTGCTTAGTTCTCAAGCATAGTTAATCTTCTAAGGTTTAAATTATCTGTTCCGGGGCGCTTGGGTGGCTCGGCTGGTTACATGTCTGACTTCAGCTCAGGTCACGATCTCATGGTTTATGAGTTCGAGCCCCCTGTCAGGCACAGAGCCTGGCGTCTGCTTTGGATTCTGTGCCTCCCTCTCTCCCTGCGCCTCCCCTGCTCGTACTCTGTCCTCTCTCTTAAAAATAAACAAACATTAAAATTTTAAAAGTATCTGTTTTATGCATAACATAAGCATCATACTTTGTTTGTTCCTTTTACTCTTAAGCTTTGTCAGACTCTACACCAGATTGAAACAAATGGTGTCTAATACCCAGGCGTGCCTTTTACTAAGAGTATGCATGTCCTCCATTGTTAAGGATTTTTAGTATTTGCATTATTTCCTTGTTCTAACACTATATCCAACCAAATTGGAGCTGGAATGCTTTTATAAAGTCCCTTCTGCAGAAAGTAAGCCTTTTGTGATTTTCCCTTTTTTTGCAAATGTTTGTGAAAGCTCTTACAATAATAGACCTATTTTAGGAACTGGTGTGAAAACATGGTTTCTGATGTAATTTGCTTATTATTAGTACTTGCAGCCCCATTTTTGTTCCTTTTAAAGGATAGCTGAATTGAGAGAGCATGTTTTAATGTTTTCTTCTTAAAAAGTGGTTTTAAAAACTTATTTTGGGATTAAATACTTTTAGTTTTAAATTCTTCTTATAATTGGTGATAGCTACTAACTCAAATTTGGTTGGAAACTTGGGTATTGGCAGATCTGGCTTTTAGAACTGAGGGAAATTTTTTTTCTTAAATGATGTAGAAGAGGCTTAATTTTGAAGTTCTTAAACTGTGGAGCTTAGAGGGTTTTTAAAAAATTACTGACTTGTTTATAAATTCTTTGGTTGTTAGAGGCAACAGTTTTTATAGTCTTTATGAGATTTTCATGTTTTTACAGAATTCTTACCAAATGGCCTTCACCATTAATAGATAACTATGTGATCAATTTTAAAGTTCCAAAGAACTATCTCAGTGCTCAGAAATTTGGGAAAATAAACAGGGAGGAATTACTCATAACCCTCTAGGTCAAAATTACTGAAACGTACGTGTGGGTTTCATTTATTTTAAAGAATACATACATGTTTTTAAATCCCTGCAAATTCATTATGCATGTTTCTGTAGAGGAGAGGCATTTCTATTTAAATCCAGTCTAACCAGTATTTCAGTTTCATTTGACGGATACCCCAGATTCAGCTAGCAATAGATAAACCCCCTTTCATTTTATTTCCTGGGGATTCTTGTGGCTCTGTCACCTAACGGTGAGAGTATTTGTCTGAGGCAGGGATTTTGACCAGAGCGTGGAAAATCGAGATCAGGTAGCCAGGAGGACACAGGGCTGCATGACTGAGACGATAGAATGCTGAGACACGTAGATGAGGAAGTTTTGCTGCTTTTGGGTTGGGGCTCCATATGGCATTAGCAGTATAGCTGTAATAATGTCACTATTTAGTGCTTACCTCCTCCCAAGAAATGCGTGTTTATTACCTTTATAAAACGTGTACAAGAAAGCAATGGCACTGTTTTATACTGATTAGATAAGTCACTCCTACGTGCGTGATTTGTTATGAGTAGGAGGGAATCCTCCTTCCTCTGTCAACATTTAAACATTTCTGAAAGATCCTATTGTGTACTGACATCAAGGCATTTGTTTTAGAAATTACTGATCTCTTTGAAAACAGAACAAAGGACTCAGTCAGTTAAGGAACAGGTGCGGGACCACCCTTGTCCTCCGCATCGGGACACTTTTCTGCTCACACATTAGTATCATCTGCCCACCTTCAACTGAAATTACCCCTGGGAAGCAGAATATATGTATAAACGTTTCATGGTTTATCTTTTCATCAACAATAAGGGGTGCTTTATGTTCGATGACTGTACATTTGTGTATCATTTTCTTTATTGTGCTAAGTCTTCCAAGTCCCTAGAGGCATAATTTTAGCAGTGAAACTTAGTGACCCCAGTGACTCAAC